GGGCCCGAGGGAGGGGGTTTCAGCTGCCTCCCGTTCCCCGGGGAAAACCGCCGGGCGCCTGAGCACCGATGCGAATGCACCGTCCACCGCAGAGGAGCCCCGCGTTTCCGTCCGTGCGCTTTATTTGTTTCATTTAACTTGGTATTTTGCCGATTCCACATTTAATTTACTCGGTACTCAGGCCGGACCGAGACACGGCCGCTGACCTAGGCTCACCAGGCCAACAGAGGCAGCAAACAGAGAAACCTGCTGCTTCTTCTCAAACCTAAGGGCCAGGAGGCAGCTGCGGCAAATTTGGCGTTGGGAGCGTCAGCGCGTCCAAAGCGCGAGGCTGCCGGTGTGCGGGCACGGTCAGAGGCCTCGCGGGGCGGGACAGCAGTGAACGAGGCCGGGAGGCGGGATGCCTTCCCTGCGCGGGGAAACGGGAGGTCGTCGGGTGAGAGACAAGCGAGAGGCGCTTCCCGTCCCCTCCTCTCGCTGTCCCAGCTCCGTGGGAAGGCATCCGTCAGCAGAGGTACGCCCAACCCGTCCGAGACCTTTTTCTTGTGAAAGGATGCAAACATGGAAACCCGCCCTACCCTCAGCCACCGCATCTGACTTCCCAGGCCTGTCAGCAGAGCTCGTCTGAGGCGCATGGGAAAAGGGAAGGGAGAGGTGCTCTCCAGCCAAGGAAGGACTAGACAGCTTTGACGATTAGGTGTGCTGAAGCTTGGAACGTTATGAGCAAATTGCCAAGCCCTGGCCCAATCATCGACAGCAGGGACTTGGTCAAAGTGTGCTGCAGATCCCTCTTAGCTCACGTGCCCCGATTTCCTTCTTGTACCATGGGGAGCAGAAGAAGGTAATACTCAGCCAGACCTCTTCCCAGCATGGAAACGCGACGCCGCCAGGCTGCGCAGGCTGGGCAGGCACAGGCGTACAACGCTACCAGCTGAGTGCTTCGGTTGTTGGCAAACGAGGCACAGCAATTCACAACTGTTAGGCACGTCTCTCTGTCTGGCACAAAACAGGCTCTCCCCAGTAATTCAGAGTGTCAGGAATTGCACTTAGCTCTAAGGACGTGTCTGTACAAGGGCTGCACGGGCACTGCGTCGCTCAAGGACAGCTCCAGACACTGTCAGCTCCCACCCTCCGGACCACATGGGACACCGCATTCCTAAGCCCGCCTGGCAGTTGAAGGCACTGCGAGGCTCACCTGGGCACACTGTCCTCTAGCCAAATGTCTACTGCTTGGTGGGCCACGGGACGTTTTGGGGTTTATCTGCTGTCATGCCTGCACAGGAACTGCCATGCAGATGTGTCTTTGTCCTTTGGTCTGGATGTGTCTGAAAGGAGAGAGGCAGGCTTACATTCAGCATTTGTCTGTCAGTAACAACTCTAAAACTAGTTTACTAACAAGCTATGTTTCTGGGAGAGCAATCATGCCTGTTCCTATTTGCTCGGAAGGTAATACCTCAAAATACAGAACCCTGAAAGGTGGAGCCCTCTCAAAGAGAGGAAAAGACATAGATAGAAGGGCTGTCATTTTAAAACTAAGAGGCCTTAACACTTCACACTGCCGATGTTCTGCTCTACTGTTTAGCTGACTCAGTCTCTTTCCACCACCAGTTAGAATTATATTTCTGACCATAATAACAACAACCACGGGGGTTGCAGCAGCTACATTTTCCCCAGCCCTTGGCCCTCAATTAAATGAATTAGAAGTTCTGAGAAATTTGTTCCAGCCACTGTGGAAGAAAACGATCGTTTTGCTATGTGCAAATAGCAGGGCGCAGCCCTGCAGAAATCAAGCAGAAAAGGAGACTTACCATGGCTGAAATTTTTGATGGTTCCACAGGAGATCAGAAGGCTGTAAAGGATATCTGAATTGCCACAGCACTCTTAATTTACAAAAAGGGTCTAAAAATTAAATGGAGCTATTTTAAGAAATCAGATTTTTAAGCAGTATGGTGGATCTGATATTTTAGACTGCTATTCATGAGCAAAAATGACACATGATCAGATGAACAGTAGAAATACAGCAGTACAAGAGGGATAACAGTATGTACGTTTGAGCTCTAAGTTGGTTCCACGAGAAAAGGCCGTAGCAGTGCAGAATGCCTGCGAGCCTCCGAAGAGAGGCATTTCATTTTCCTTCTGAAATGTTCCTGTCACACAAAGTCTGGTAGGGGATCTGCATGCATTCATTCTGCTTTACCTGCTAAGGAGTTCGTTAGGGAGCAGGGTGTTTTCAGGCTTTAAGACTAGGTTCATTCCTGCATATTCATGCAGTATCCCCTCTTCAGGGTGACCTAGAAATGGAGGCACAGCATGAGGAACAGGGAATTTGTAATTATGGTGGTTAAAATGCTTTCAGTTCGCCCTGGAAATCTACCTTTTAAAGCTCTCTCCCTTGAAATCACTTTGCAGGGTCAGGACAGTATTGCTCACCTCCTGACAGAAAGGAAGTACGAAGTCACATTCCTGAGAACAGAGGAAGTTAAGGGAGGTGACAGAGGGACTGAGATGCACCTTATTCAGCACTAAGTCTTAAGGTATCTAAGGAAGGAGTTGGGAAGAGGTGAGAGAAACAGCTGTTTAGGGGAGAAATGTGTGACTGGAAATAAATATTGCAGATGCTTCAGACAGGTATGCATTCCCTTATCTGCTCCAAGCAGATGAGTTACCCCTCGGAAATGCAACTTATAAGCCACTTTTCTCCACATGTAGGTTGACTCTTCAGGGAATTCAGTACATTTGTAAGGCAGAATTTCCCTGGACAAAAGCCATGTTGACTCTTTCAAGTAGATCATATTTATCCAGGTGTCTACTAGGTCTATTGCCCACCAAAGCTTCTACCGATTTGCAAAGGAGAGAGAGCAGGCTTCCCGTCCCAGCTCTCGTCAGGCACCCTGTCTTCCACGGAACTCTTTTTAAAAACTGACACCCCATTTGCCATCCTGCAGACACTGGGTATCAGTAGACTTTTAGAACTGTAGTTACACACACCTGTTAGCAATTTCCATCTGATCCTAGTGGTTTCTTACTGTTCGTTTTATCAGTTTCATCCATTTTCTCTTCAAAATCCCTTCCATTTCCAGGATATCCACTGGTGAACACTGACTCAAATAGTTTATGAACTTCTCTGCAACGGCCCTGTTTTCTTTGAGCGCTCCTGTTAATACCACGGTTATCAATTAGTCAGGCTCTGTATTACACCTAGGTGTAATGTGTACAATCTACATACAAGCAACGAAGTCTCCTGTTCCTGCTGTATTTTCCACCCTTGCTGATCAACTTGATCCTCCTTGGCATTTCACTGTTAGTAAACCAGACCCAACATCGGGTTGGTTAATTATGGAACAAGTCAGTAATTCTTTGTACTCCTCTAAAATCTCCCTCTTTAGGCTTGACGTGTTAACCTATGCAGATATTATTTCATTTCTAATAAGTTTGTTAATTGGATTTGATTTGAAGAGCCACTTTTCCAAAAACAAAATGGTTTTAAGGGGAGGTGAACCTCCTGTCACTCTGAAATCTGGCCAACACAGACTAAAATGTTGCCTGGCTCAGTAACTCCTACGGGGGCTGTGGTACTGTGAGACGGTTACTGGAAGAATATTTATAGAGACGCAAGTGAATCCACATCCACAGGTACACTGTGCCAGCAGCAAAAGTACGGGGAAGGGCTTATGGTACTCAGGCAAATGGCTTCGCTTCAGGACTTCAGGATTTTTATAGGATTCCAGACAGTGGATGGATATGTGAATGTTTTAATAAAAAGTATCTGTTACTGGCAGTATCAGTACACAATCCCAAGGAGAGGCCGTAGTCTCCAAGCCAACATGGTGGTGTGCGGTATCGTGTTTGTTGTTTCTTTACTACTGGGAGTAAAGCTGCCTTCTACTGTATTTGTTTGTAGATCACTGAATGGCCATTGGTTATAATCAAAACGTATTGGAACAGTAAATTTTCTGCTGTATTTTTTCTGCCATGGAATTCATTTTGGTGTTATGACTTGATTTTTATTTAACAAAGGCAGAGGGTTCAATAAAGTAATGTTTTATCTGTCACCTGGCGTCTCTAAAGTAAAGCACAACAAAAATATATTTAAGTTCTTAACCTTTTGTAATGGTTTTATAAAATAAATACCAAAGAAGTTTTCACAATAAAAGAACTGGGACATACATTCTCAGTGATAAAACAGAAATTAAAAAAGAAAATGTTTCTCCCTATGCTGTTTGTTAAACCATGTTATGATGGCGAAATAAGATGATAATCTATGAGATTTGTACATTCAGAAAGTACGTCAGTACATGCAGAAGCATTATTTTTTGTCCGGTGACATACTCTTCATTTTATCTATTTTAAAAAATTTGGTTCCTAGTAATTCTTTACAGCCTGTTTAATGTGAATACAGGAGTTACTAAGCCTTCCTATTTATTTGCCTAATATGCGTCCAGATGGATCTGATATTCCATTTTACTTTTTTGGCAACCATGCACATTCTTTGACTGCCTGTTTTAATCCTGCCTTTAAGTCTCTTCCTCTCTGATCATTTTATCTTCAGCTTCTTCTGCTGTTAACGTTGTATTTTTATTCTCAATGAACCAAGTGTACAGACCTACATTTTATAGCTTCGAATGTCATTTTACTGAGAAGAACTGTGAATGAGTGTTAACCACCAACTGATACTGAATGTCATATAGCATTTGGCTATTTCATTTTCCTTATGCAATGCAGGGATAGCAGCATAAAGTCCCCTATAAGACAGGTATGCTTACCAACAGTGTTTAATAAGATAGACGAATATAGTACATCTGAGTTCAGAACATGGCCTACCTTATTACCACGCAAACAGGAAGTAAGCACGTGTTGTGATTTGGTACAGGTTTTTCTTTGATTTGTTGAGTTACAGAGGCACAAAGCCTCTAAAGATGACATCCGAAGTTATCCAACAACTTACAGTAGCAATGAGTGGATTATGCGCTACTGTCGTCTTTTCTTCGAGTCACTGACACGCATAAGCAAGATCCTCAGAAGTGATGTGGCTGCCTTGCAGGTGACATCATCTTCAAACTAAAAGGAAAATCAAGATAGAAGGCAAAGATGTATCACAGATACATCCACAAACTCACACCTTTTGAAGTTATAGTGGAAAAAAAGAAGGGTCTGAAGTAAAGAAATGTTGGGTATCTCTTCTTCAGTAATCCTTGCACACTTTAGAGCTCTATCAGTTTTCAGCTTGAATTTAAGTCGTTGTTAGGAACATCTGTTTCATTCTGCAAAGCACAGCATCAAAGTCAGAGGTCTGGAAGTGTAAGCTCTAATTGATCTGCACACCTGTATCGCACTGATTTGAGCGGAAATGGAGCAGATCACTCACATCAGCGACATAACACTTTTAGAATCATTGTGTTTTGTGTGATTAAAAATCTGATCATCTTAGTTTGATTTTGAAACCTGAAAATAAAAAGAATTTTTCATGTCTCATAGTATTGCCCATGATATCTAAAGTGGAAACAAAACACTGCT